CCAAGTCCCACACACGTCTAAAAACATCGTCATGTAAAGCACATGTTAGATAATAAAGAGCACGATGATCAAGTTGTAAGCAATCCTCTTGTGCTTGGGTTAGGTTGTCCTTATCCAAAGCATCATGAGAAAAACCAACAACAATGATCCACCATGCTTTGGGACCCAATTCATAGAAATGATCAAGCATATGACGTTTCCACCATGCATAGTGTGTGCCATCAAAAATGTGTGAGTCATAAACAACTTATAGCCCAAAGTTCACCATCGTCTCGGGTCGGTAAAGACCACAAATGAGAGACCTTGCTCGATACCACTTGTAGGGTCGAGATGGCGTACTAGAGGGAGTGAATAGTCCTTTCTAAAATTAATCACGTTGGCTAACCAAAACTAGTGCGAATTAGAACCATCGGTCTAGCCAAGACTACACCCCTCTATCAATGTTCACTAGCACCTTGCAAAGATCCTAATTAAGCAACTAAGGTGCCGGGCTAGCTAGAGCTCACCTTACCAATTCTAGAAGCAAGGTCACACAAACCTATGCCACTAGTACTTCAAGCAATGAGAGAGCTCCTACACATGCTAGTAAGCAAAAGCACAAAGCCACCTAAGCTCACTAGCAATGCTCAATAACAAGGCAACCAATGCCAAATTAGAGAGCATAATTACTTAGCTACACAAACTAAGCAATGTGACTAACAAGGTTACACAAACCAAATTAACCACGCAAGGGAGCTACTTCTATGCTACACAAGCAAGAAGGTAACTAGTAAGCTACACAAGCTAACTAATTACAAGAGCAACTACACAAGCACAATGTATATGAAATGTAAATACAAGCTTGTGAAAGGGGATTGCAAACCAACGGGAAGAACAAAATTGGCATGATGATTTTTCTCCCAAGGTTCACATGCTTGCCAACACGCTAGTACCCGTTGTGTCGACCACTCACTTGGTGGTTTGGCGGCTAATTGGCATCACCTGCCAAGCCCTCGCGTCGGGTGCCGCAAGAACCTACCCCGAAAGTGAGGGTAGCTCAATGACATGCTTTACTAGAGTTGCTCTTCGTGGCTCCCTCGGGGCGAGCACAATGCCCCTCACAAAGCTTTTCTCCGGAGCACCGTACAAGCTTCTTGCGGGCTTCGACGGCGACCACCACCAAATCGTCTAGGAGGTGGCAACCTCCAAGAGTAACAAGCACCACCGCCTTGCAAGACGACCACCTAGTGCCACTCGATATAACCTCACGATGCAATTGCACTAGAATCACTCACTCACGCAATCGGATGATCACTATCAAGCATATGTGAGTTAGAGGGCTCCCAAGCACTCTCCAACATGGACACAAAGTCCCTCGAGGTGTTCTACACCAGCCATGGCCGAGACCACTTTCTATTTATAGCCCCATGGGCTAAACTAGCCGTTACCCCTTCACTGGGCAAATTTCGAGACGACTGGACGCGCAGGTCGTTTGCACCGGACGCGTCCGGTCGTAGCTGACCCACAACATGTCCCACTCAAACTAGTCATTGCCACCAATAGCTCTCTCTGACATGTCGCATTGGACGCGCTGTTCGAAACGACCGGACGCTGAGCCGCAACGTCCGGTCGAGTCCAGTAAGCTCCCAGGGCCGACCGAATGCGCTGTTAGAAAATGACCGGACGCTGAGCCTCAGCGTTCGGTCATGTCCAGTAAGCTCCCAGACCCAACCGGACGCGTCCGGTCACTCCGGACCGGATGCTCCCAGCGTCCGATCAACAGTTACATTGAACATCGACTTCACTGATTTACACTGGACGCGTCCGGTCTCTTACACTTTGTCACTCACCTCAGGTCCAAATATCGTACGCGTCCGGTCACCATACCGGACGCATCCGGTCACTTCCGTCTGACAACCCGAAGTCTAGATAGAATACCAGACACGTCCGGTAGCCATACCGGACGCGTCCGGTCACTCTGTGACCAGCGCGACTAACTCCTTTTCTTCACCAACTTCTTCTCCTTTGCAAATGTGCCAACACCACCAAGTGTACACCACCATATGTATGTGTGTTAGCTTTTTCACAAACATTTTTCAAAGGATTAGCCACTCAACTTGCCACGCCACTCAATCCTAGCGATGATGCAAAGTTAGATCACTCGAGTGGCACTAGATGACCGATATATGAACAAGTTTGCCCCCTCTTGATAGTACAGCCATCTATTATAAACCCGGTCATAAACTTCACTACACATCTATGACCGGCGAAATGAAATACCCTAGGTTATACCTTTGCCTTGCGCATTCCATTCCATCTTCTCTAATGTCGATGCAACACATGCACCAACACGATCAACAATTGTATGATCCACTTCATATCATCACGTGATCATATTAGTTCATCGATCTTGACTTCACTTGCTTTTCACCGTTGCCTTCGTCCATCGGCGCCAAGTCTTGCTCAAGCTTCACCGCCACGCGGTCCATCGCTCCAAAGCCTCTGACTTGCCTTTACGCTTGCAACTAGTCCATCAAGCCAAGTCTTATCTTGATCTTCTCCACCTTGATCACATGACTCAATGTCATGTCTCATGTGCAATGAGCTCCTTCATCATCACATGTATGAGCTTTGCAACATCTCCGAGCCATTTCAACCTTCATGGCATATGTTGCTCATACACATGTACCTGTGGACTAATCACCTATGTATCTCACATAAACACAATTAGTCCCCCTAGATTGTCACTCAATTACCAAAACAACACAAGGACCTTTCACTAACCGGTGACTAGATGCACTCAAGATAGTCCACATAACACAGCAGAAAAGACAGAAAGCGAAAATAGCGAAAGACGCAGCGAGGGAGGCGAAAACGTACACAACACAGCGACAACACCTCCTAGGAAAACCAACCTAGCCGGTTTTTGAATTGGCTTGGCCGGTTCTGCAGCTGCCAAACTGATTTGGCTGATTTTATTACGGCCCGAAAACCTCTGCGAAAAAGCCTAGAAATGTCGGATTTGATCCAAACAAACTCCAATTGACCCCAAATTTTGTGGAGATGATTCTAATGGTGTTTTGAAGGTAACCATGGAAGATCAAAACCAAAATCCCTTAGAATCAAAGCTGGTCTCAAAATACATCTACCGGAGTGGGATTTTCTCAAATTTTCCTCCAAAACTCAATCTATGTGCTCGTGAGGAATCTGACAAATCTGGTTGGTAGAAAGGTTCTTTAGGGGTCATAGCACATATTGATCCAGCCCAAACACCTAGAAGAACTCAGAACAAATAAATCAAAGAAAAGTTACAAAAACCGGGCACTGGAAAGGGAAATCAAGAGATGCAAACCAAGAACTCATATTTCAGAGGACAACTTAGCTTTATTTCTCGCAAGATCTAGTTCTTACAAGGGGTCTTCTCTCACATGGGAAAACATAGACAATGTTGTGTCTTGCCAAGCTTCCAGCAGAAAGGTGAGGAAGAGAAGAGAGAGGCATGTGAGAAGATCAGAAAGGGGCTGATGCATGGCTGAGGAAGAGAGAGAGAGAGTGGGGATTGTGGGGTGGGCCAGGGTTTCGTTCTATTTATATACTATATTATCTGATTTTCGGGCTGATGACTTTTCTAAACACTAGTGGGCTCGGCCACATTAACACAGACGGGCCTTTTAGGAGGTCTACCTCCGAAAATAGCCTCCATTTTCTGAGGCGGACCACTTAATAGGGCCACCTCCATAAATCTATTTTAGGAGGCGAGCACTGTTTGACCGCCTCCGTAAATCCATTTAAGGAGGCAGGCAGTATTTGACCGACTGCATAAATAAAAAGCCCGCCTCCGAAAATTCTCAGATATTTTAGGAGACAGTTGAATTTGTGATTGCCTCCGTTAATGATTGTGCAGTGTCTCCAAAATCATTGATGTAGCAGTGAATGTTGACATGCATGAAGGACTCGGAGTTAGTCAAGCAAAGAGCATAACATGTCGTGGAGAACCATGAGTCAGAAGATTCCTTCAAGAACCTATGACTTGATCAAGGTGCCGCTGCTGGAACTGGTGACTGAGTCTGACTCTGTGAGTGTGAGACCAGTGTGATTCAGTGAGTGTGAGAGTGATGTGGCTGTGTGTGTGAGTTTGTGAGTTTGAGTGTGATTAAGTGAGAGTGAAAGTGAGTGAGAGTCATTCTGAACTATGGTTCAGTTTGTAATAACTTCGAACATTTGAATTTGTGAATAAGTTGGCCGTACTCATTTTTCCTTTCTAGAGTTTCTCACGAGATATGAATTTTACCTAGAAAGATTTTTAATGAGGTTGCAGTGCACAAACAGCTCAAAATTTGCTTCATTTTGGCTGCTTCCTGCTTGGTTTGATGGTTTAATTTCCTTTTGTTTTAATAACTTGGCAGTTGGCACATTGTGTTGAGGCTTTCATCTTTGAAATATTGATCTGGTGTCTTGGTGATCTGGTCGCATTGTGTTATTGTAGACAAGTAGTTGGCACTTGTGTTGTTGTAGTATTGTTGTAGTCTTCTAGACTTATATATTTGTATGATCATTTTATCTGTGGCTGAATGAGGGGTTTTTATGACTACGGGCTCCGAGCTGTCCTGACCTTGTATTTTGCCCGTGTTTTTTGGGCTGGCCCGGCCCGAAAAACAGTCTATAGTGCCGTGTTTGGGCTGTTAGACAGGCACGAAGCCCGGCATGGCCCGGTGGCATGTTGTGCCGTGCCTGACCCGTTGCCAGCAGGCCATGCTTTCACCAGGCCCATTCTGTAGTGTCTAGGAACAACATCATTGTCGGTTTATCACGCACCCTCTAGGCTCCAACTATAAAGTAAAGACTTTATGATCCTCCCTAAAACCCCCATCCGATCAACCTGTACTGATTAGACAATTTGGACTCAATACAATTAAAAGCTTGTGACGACGAAGTTATAAGAAACCCATTTCGTCCAAACACTTGTTCAGAGTAAACGCGGTGGAGCATCGGACGAAGTTAAAGAACGGCTAGAATAGACGATGCCTGCGTGGATGTGGTTGTTCTATGCCACCATCGGCGCCCTGTATGTCGCAGGCCACTGCTTCCGCCTCCTTCGCCACCTCGCACTCTGCCTGAGAAAGCCAAAGGACCTCCGCCGGCGCTACGGCTCATGGGCCGTCATCACCGGGCCGACGTCGGGCCTCGGGTGGTCCATGGCCATGGAGCTGGCGCGCGCGGGTCTCAACCTCGTCCTCGTCGGCCGGGACCCCGCCAAGCTGCAGGACGTGTCCGACAAGATCGCGAGGTGCCACGGCGTGCAGACCAGGACCGTGGTGTTCGACCTCTCCCTGGTGTCGACGGCGCAGGGGGACGAGGCGATGCGCCGGCTCCGGGAAGCCATCGAGGGGCTGGACGTCGGCGTGCTGGTGAACAACGCCGGCGTGAACAAGCCCGGCGCGCTGTACCTGCACGAGGTGGAGGTGGAGTCGCTGATGAGGATGGTGCGCGTGAACCTCCAGGCGCTCACGGAGGTCACCGCCGCCGTGCTGCCGGGCATGGTTCAGCGGCGGAGGGGCGCCGTCGTCAACATCGGGTCCGGGTCCACGCTGGCCGTGCCCTCGTTCCCACTCTACTCCGTCTACGCCGCTACCAAACGGTACTGTAATAGTGTAAACATGTACTAGCAGTTTCAGTTTGGTTCTTTTTTCTACCGTTTGCATTTTTTCTATTTTTTTCGCAGGTATGTTGCTGTGTTCTCGAAAAACCTTTACGTGGAGTACAAAAGTAAAGGAATCGATGTTCAATGTCAGGTGATGATCAACCACGCAATATATTGATAGATTTATGTTTCATCGGACAAACATGGTCTAAAAATCTGCAGGTGCCCTTCTACGTGGAGACGAACATGGTCTCCAGCGCGGCGAAGAACAGTCTGTTCCCGCTGTTCGTGGTGGGGCCAGACGCGTGCGGCCGCGCGGCGGTGCGCTGGATCGGGCACGGCCCGCTGTGCGTGCCCAACCTGGTGCACCAGCTCCAGTGGTGGGCCGCGGCCTTCCTGCCGGAGATCCTTGGCGACACCTATCGCCCAGCGCTGCATCTGCATCAGCGGGCCATCTTCCGGATGCTCAGATCGTCCAGAGCGCATCCGCAGGGCAGCGGCGGGTTCATCAGTGCACAAATTCTACTAGCAAAGCTACCAGTGAGTTTGTAGCGCGGCGCGGTGCACGAAAAGGAAAAATAACAAATGGTGGTCTTACCAGTTTCTACAGGGACACGAAGGGCACGTGAAAATTGTAGAACAAATTCAAAAAAAAATGCCTGGTAGAAAAGCTTTGTTGAGCTCATTGTTGAGTGGGCACGCGCGTGACCAGTTCAGATGTCGTTCTGTCAATTTTTCGCATCGCCCACATAAACAGATTTGCTCTCACATTATACTACTACTATAATAAAGTCCTTTATATTGCTGTAAAAGAGGATTGGCTAACCGCCATGTGGTGGAAATGGATGTCTCAAAATCATAATTATCCAAATCTGTATCCATTAAAATATGAAATATAGATATATGCATTGGTATTCATTTCTAATGGGATACATATATTCGAAACCATTTTTTTCATTCTCGGACTAATTCCACATCCGTATTCAGGAAAATAGATGTATATTTATCTGTATCCATCAAGAATGTAGTACTAAGTGAAAGTATGTAAACGTTATTCATATATATGACTAATGATTAAATATACTAATTTTAGTATTAATTATGTGCACAATGAAGCTATTTAAAAGTAATTATTAATGACATTAATTTTAATACTACTAATTATGTACCCATTAAAAATATTTAAAAACTAATTATTAATTATATTAACTTTAATATTATTAATGATAAATACTACACAATTAATTAATTTTAATATAATCAATTCATTAGTGTTAATATGGAAAAATGTATTAACTTTAGTTCTCTTTGAAATAAAAGATAACTTTAATTAACATGACAATGTTATATAATTTTGTGTTTCAATAACTTTCATTCTCAACGTTTAAAAGCTGAAGAACAATTTAAACACAACTCAAATTTTAACTTCTTCCAGTTAAAAAATACAATCACTAGTGCATACAAAAAGGCTAGAAACTGAGTCGATCGAAACCAGGATTGAGGCGCTTTACATGCCTAGTTTAAAAGGGAGAATCGTTTCTCTTGGATTATAGAACCAAATGCTCTGCCTAAATTCGTTCGGCAACAAAATTTTTGCATTCCAGGGAGGAACCCGAACTGTTTCACCTTACCAAACGACCCCTAAATTGAATATATATTCAAATGTGAATCTGAATACGAGCTATTCTTTTTATATTCGTATCGAAAATATTTTTATTTTTATTCATATATAGGACAAAAAATATGATAAGTACTGATATTTGTATCTGATTACATGCGTATTCATCAGTCCGTTTTCCACGCCTGTGTCTGCGTGTAGCCGGTTGGATGATGGTTGGTGGCAGCCGGGGCAATTGCACGCCATGAGAATAGTAACAGCATTGGTGGATGTTATGAGCAGAGACGGTAGTTGGGGGCAGTCATGAACGATGGCGAGACAGTAACAGCAGAGGTAGTCAGCCTCAAAACTGAGAAGCGTAGCAGGAAGGAACACGGAGAAAGACAGCGTTTCTGCTGAGTTGTGAGGATGACAGAACAGGCGCCGCCACCGCCCGCATGGTTCTTCCTGTTGCTCGCTTTCGTCGGCGGCGCCTACTCGGCGGCGCTGTCGTTCCGCCTCCTCTCCTACCTCGCGCTTTCCATGCGCCGCCCGAGGGACCTACACCGCTGGTACGGCGCGTGGGCCGTGCACTACTGGATCCGCCGCCTTTGCCGAGTGCCGGCCGCACTCGGCAAAGGAACCTTTGCCGTCGGCAAAGGCTTTGCCGAGTGCGGCTCTCGGCAAAGCCCACTCGGCAAAGAAGTGGTCGGCAAAGGAATCTTTGCCGAGTGCCATGTGGCAGGCACTCGGCAAAGGTAACGGGCGCCGTGAACTTGACGCCACTCTTTGCCGAGTGTCGACGTGTCAGGCACTCGGCAAAGGATTTTTTTTTTTTGAAAAAATCTTCGCCGAGTGCTGATGTGTCAGGCACTCGGCATCTTTTTTTGAAAAAATCTTTGCCGAGTGCTGGCACTCGGCAAAGGTTTAGTCACTTTGCCAAGTGCCACGCCAGCACTCGGCAAAGCTGGGCTCTGCTGGGAAAAATGCCCAGCTTTGCCGAGTGCTGGCACTCGGCAAAGCTGGGATTTTTTTTTTTTTTTTTCTGTTTTCTGGAGCACTCGGCAAAGCTGGGATTTTTTTTTTTTTTTTTTCTGTTTTCTTGCATTCCAGACATGCAATTTCACATATATTCATGCCAATAAACTAGAATATCACATAAAAATCGCATTTCATCATCAAATGACGTCTCAACACGATATAAGTTCATAACATGTCCAAAACCTGCAAGAAAACAACGGCGCGAAAGCCGATAACCACAGCGGCACGAAGGGCAACATCACAGCGGCACGAAGGCCGACAAGTCTACAAGCGGGCAGTAGAGGTACCTAGCTCGACCCGGCGTCCCCAGGGGGCCCAGAGCCCCCACCTTGCTCCCACGGAGACCACCCTGACTGCGGCGCTGCCTGGAACGTCGAGTAGGGCTCGGAGTGCCCCTGCTGCGTCGGTGGAGGAGCGGTACCTGGCCACGTGAAGGCCTGAGTCGGGAAGGTCTGGTGAGCCGGGCACCCGTGCGGTGGAGAAGGGCCCAGGGAGGGTCGGCACTGAGTCGGGTTCGAACCCACCATCGCTCTCGCACAAAGGACAAGTGATCTCATTAGTACTGCAGGATGGCCGCACAAGCTAAAGCAACAGGCAATATACTCACCGGAGTCGCTATAGGAGTAGGCACAAGAAAAGGTGGTGGAGCGAAGATCGAGGCAGGGAGCTCGTGCTGCTGCATTCCCGGGATCTGAAGGCCCCGGAAGTAGGCGGCAAAGTCCTACATCTGACGCTGGTAGTGTCTTTGCGTGATGACCGCCACCGCCACCGATGGGCCACCGCCATGTTCTCTGGTTCGTGCTGCAAGCCCTCGTGCGATCTGGGCTGCAATATTACACCCGCAAAGTTGATGGTATGTGAAAGCAAGGTACATGTGTGAAACGAGTGAACGATTTAATGAAATCGCACTTACACGAAATGCCGAGAACATTTGCGCGTTGTTGCTCGGCCGCCGAGGCGCTATGGGGATGTCGAGGAGCTCCCGGTCCCGCCTCGTCAACTGCCTCGGCTCAGGGGAACAGAGGACGACTTCGATGGCGCTTGTTGGCCATCCAAGATCTGGCCGTGGCTTGCTTCTCCTCCCAACCTCATCAAGAGGTCCGTGTCCGTGGGGTTTGTGGCGGGTCGAACGTCTCCCCATGGCGCCGGTGAGCCATGCGGAGGTGTACTCGGCGAGCTTGGGGTAGACGCTTCGCGTTGGTGTCTGCTGTCCGGGCCCGTCCGCCGGGTCGTAGACGTTGTCCGCCGCCGTCGCTTTGCCCTTGTGAGCAAGGGCGCACTTCGTGAACTCGTTGACGACATGCCCACCATGCGATCGGGTCTGCGAGGAAAACACAAACATGGTTACACAAGTAATGACAATTGAGCGCTAGAATTAATAGATCAATGTAGCATACCCATCTTTCCATGAACACTTTGGGGGACTGGTTCCCTTGGTGGTGTGGTGCCCTCGCATCTGCAGCGCCCCTCCCGACGTTCTTCAAGCGCCTCAGTACGCCGCGTCTGTGGTCCACTCACGCACAATGGCCGCCAAAGAATCCTTGTAGTTGTCGCACCACCGGACACATCTCGCATGACATCAAGTATTTGACATGCCGAAGATGAATTGAATGTTTCACGGAAGGAATCGAACGAATGTTTCCTACTTAATTACTTGCATGTATCAAGCGCCTCTGTGAGGTCGGTCTCCCTCGAGTATCATCTCCCGACTTGCGGCTTCTTCACCACCGCCAAGCACGCCGGGTAGTAGCCGATGACGACCGGAGATGCGCCTCGTGGTATGCAGTCCCTGAGACGCGATCTTTGCGGACCGCCTCCTGCACCTGCTACCGCATGCTTTGCTTCTCCCTCCTCGCACGCGTGAAGAAGTCCCGCATACGTACATCATGTATCATTTCATTGTTTCAAGAACGTCCAACGAATGCGTAGTATTGAGAAATGCGGGCGATGAAAATACTCACCCGTAACTCCCTCTTGATCTTCGCCGCAAGGGTATCGCCGTTGGAGTCCGTGGACGCCGAGAAGTGTTCCCACTTCATGGGCGCTGTACCTCACCCTTGTGGGTGACGGGCCGTGGTAGTACTCCCTAATCAAGCCAGTTCCCTGGATGCCATTGATATGGCGTGAACCGCCCCCTCCGCTCACAAACGCCCAACTATCGCACGAGTCATTAACAACAATTGTTAGTAAATCTGCAACCCAAAAGACAGCAATAGGAAAACAAGGATATGAATCATTCTAAGGAAAAGGGAGAAAAGCATTAACCAAATATCAAGAATATAGCAAGGGCCGCGGTGGGGTTTGAGGGGTTGGCGAACTGCAACTTAGGTAGCTATTTTGCTATCATTAGCGCAAAGTCGCAAACATAAATGTCTTCCTGTCTAACCAGTCCTCTTCATACTATACAATCTCTATGTTCATGCAGGCCTCAACATGACAGGAAAGAGCTGCCGCCTGCGGTGGGTGAACTACCTTCATCCTAGCCTCAAGCATGGCCGCATGTCACCACAAGAAGAACGCCTTATTATTGAGCTCCATGCTCGGTGGGGGAACAGGTTTGATCTGAAGTTTTTCTAGATAGTAACTTCTCTCAGTTACTAAATTTAGGTGAATACAGAGAGATTGCTGAAGGAAATGAGAAGACATGCAGCAGTATCCCCTGTCATCTAGCATCACCTGCTATGTGGGACTACAAATATCCTGAGGTATTCTGGAAGATGGAAGATCAAGAAACCATGATGTGATAGAATATGAAGAAACCATGATGTTGGCTCCACTATTTGGTTACGGTAAATAAGGCCCTCACTATTGAAGCCTGAAGGAATACATCTATATAGGTCAGCTCACTCAGCTATCTGCCTAGCAGATTTGCAGTACTTGTACTTCCTAGCTATGCTTGCATTAGTATGGGTTTCAGTATTTTAAAATCTACTATAACACTGGAGGTATGCTTATGATGTATGTATCTATGTAGCATGCAAAATAGTTTGTATCAGTTTGTGGAATAGCGTGCAATACAAGGACGCTCTATATGCATGATATATTTATTTCTCTGTTCTTATTGTGCTGAACAAATAACAGTGTAATCTGGTTTGCAGTTATTATTCAATAGAATATGATACAAATTGAATGTTACATTTGAAGTTATATAATAAAGAGAACACCTTTACTTCTAAATAAAGCTTGATAAAACTGTATCCGGATTCAAGAAAAATAGAAAGCAGACTGAGAATAAAAAATATTCGTCCAATAAAATAGAGCCCAAGATAGACAAGAGCTTAGTTTACAACATGTCAAACAGAAACTGTAAAAGCAGAGAATATTGCGTGGGATTAGATTGATGATTGTTGTCGTACATGATACATATGCATATATACAGGGTTACAGGCAACCACAGGGTGCGCCAAAGCTATAGGCAGCAGCAACCCTAAGTGCATGGGCCTAAGCCCACCCATGGCTTAAACATAGCTAGGCCCCTAATAGCCTGTCTAACAGAAACAAATCCACAAGTTATTTGTAACAAAGAACAGGAATAACAGACTGTTTATTCTTAAGTTCAGTTCCAACAGAACAGAACTGGCAGGTTCAGTGCAAGAGTAAGTGAGCTATCATTTTTTCTCTCCATAATTATAAAGCTGATAGCATTAGTATCTAATAATAAAGTTAAATCACACTAACCAATAAGACGAGGAAGAAGTTGCAGGTAATTAAGCTAAGATTTTGTTCTAATTAATCAATAAGGTAGTGCATGGACCACAAAGAACCAGCCATCACTTCTCTCTTATACTATCATGGCCATTCCAGGAAATAATCTTAGACTAACATCAACATACATGGGAATCCGGAGCTACAGTGTACCTCGTGGATCTAGCAGAGGATAGGGAGCATACCTCAGCGCCGCTGCGTACTGTCGGATGGACGGGCGCATCCGCGGCGGCTGCAGGGATGTGGTCAAGTCTTCTTGACCGGATGGACGGCAGGGTGCTCTATGCTCAAGGAGGGAGCTTCCACCGCCACGATCCACGCCTGCAGTAGATGGAGAACGGGACCACGAAATTCCACGGTGGCGAGGAGGAGAAGGGATCTCTGGGCAGCGCGGGGCGGAGCTCGCGGCGCGGCAGCCGGGGATGCGGGGCGGGCGGGGGAGCTCGGGCCGCCGGCCGGCTGCTCGCGGGCGCGTCGGAGGAAGGGGCGCGGCAGCCGGGGATGCGGGGCGGGCGGGGGAGCTCGGGCCGCCGGCCGGCTGCTCGCGGGCGCGTCGGAGGAAGGGGCGCGGCAGCCGGGGATGCGGGGCGGGCGGGGGAGCTCGGGCCGCCGGCCGGCTGCTCGCGGGCGCATCGGAGGAAGGGGCGCGGCAGCCGGGGATGCGGGGCGGGCGGGGGAACTCAGGCCGCCGGCCGGCTGCTCGCGGGCGCGTCGGAGGAAGGGGCGGCGGCGGCGGCGGCGGCGGGCGTAGTGGCGGCGGCGCGAGGGAGCAGTGGGGAGTGGGGGTTGGGCCGGCCCGTGTCGGCCTTTAGGTTAAAGGCTTTGCCGAGTGCCAGATCGGCACTCGGCAAAGACGCCATCTTTGCCGAGAGCCGGCCACGTGGCACTCGGCAAAGAGCTGCCACGTGACAGGCTCAGGGCTGCCAGGCCGGCTCGCCTTTGCCGAGTGCCACGTGGCCGGCTCTCCGCAAAGGACCCCTTTGCCGAGTGCCACCCCTAGCACTCGGCAAATTAATTTTTTTTGTTTTTTTTCTTCCAATTTTTTTTGTGGGGTCTTAATACAGTCATTACATCTCAACTTCAAAATTTGGGACAATTTTGAGTTTGTGTGCTATATTTCTTTAATTATTTTTGTTTCGTTGAATTTTTCCGACAATTCCAAATTTGAACTGCAGGTATATGAAATAATGGAATTTGTTCATTCAAAAAATGGTATTCATGATGTTCGGCGTATGTTGAGGCCGTATCCAGGACCTCGCATGAAGTTACGACCATGTTAGTGTCGTAACATGACGAAAGTTACTCATGGAAAAAGTGTTTTTAAATTATATAAAATCCAAACGAAGTTCGAAAATGACGAAACTTGTCGAGGTGTGTTGTCATCGCATGTGGAGGCTGTGGTAAAAAATTGAGAAAGTTTAGAGCAAGTTGTGACGTCGGATGCCTAAAACCATGTTACGACACTAACATGGTCGTAACTTCATGCGAGGTCCTGGATACGGCCTCAACATATGCCGAACATCATGAATACCATTTTTTAAATGAACAAATTCTATTATTTCATGTACCTGCAGTTCAAATTTGGAATTGTCGGAAAAATTCAACGAAACAAAAATAATTAAAGAAATATAGCACACAAACTCAAAATTGTCCTAAATTTTGAAGTTGAGATGTAATGACTGTATCAAGACCCCACAAAAAAAATTGGAAGAAAAAAAACAAAAAAAAATATATTAATTTGCCGAGTGCCAGGGGTGGCACTCGGCAAAGGGGTCCTTTGCCGAGAGCCGGCCACGTGGCACTCGGCAAAGTTGTCGCCCTGGCCGACCCTAATCCTACCACGTGGCAGACCTTTGCCGAGTGCTTGGCACTCGGCAAAGGTGACTCCTTTGCCGAGTGCCTAACGGCAAGGCACTCGGCAAAAGGGACGGCCACGGATGCCGTTTGTCCAGACCCCCCTTTGCCGAGTGCTCCTCTTTGACAAGTGCCAGACACTTGGCAAAGATCACCTTTGCCGAGTGTTTCTGTTTGCCGAGTGCCAGACACTAGACAAAGAGTGCTTGGTCTGGCACTCGGCAAAGAACCTCTTTACCGAGTGCCCGTGGTTTGTCACTCGGCAAAGCTTGAGGCAATCGGCAAAGACACTGTTTTCGTAGTGGTGGTCACCGGCCCGACGTCAGGCATAGGCCGGTCCGTGGCTCTGGAGCTCGCGCGCCGCGGCCTGAACCTCGTCCCCCTTGACCTCGACGCCGCCAACCTCGAGGAGACCTCCGACATGGTCGTGTCTCGCCATGGCGTGGAGACAAAGACCGTGGCGTTCGACCTCTCACTCGTGGGCACCCCTCAAGGTAACGACACCTCTCGGTACGTAGCGCGAGTGCCTGAGCGTTTGGGGCCAAAGGGCATTTGCATCAGCTTCACATTCTTCATTCTCTTGCCACCAAAAGGTACGTATCGCAATAAGCGCGTAACTGTTGTACTACGTCCTGTGTACGTCTCCTGCACCGTCTGTTCATCCTAAGCTTAGGTATGTTGCCAAGTTCTCCCGGGGCCTTCACGTCGAGTATAGAAGCAAAGGGATTGATGTGCAGTGCCAGGTAATATATCCAGCAAAATTCTGTAGTTCAAAAAGATTAACCTGCTGCTTAACTTGAGCAAAGGAATTTCGCTGCGACAAGGATGATCAAAGTTTCGTACTACCTCCGTCCCATTAAATAGTGTCACGTTTTATTACCTTAAGTTTGATCAATTATATAGATAAAAAATTATCAATGTTTGTAATACCAAATAAATATCATTAGATTAATTACGAAATGTATTTTCATAATAAATTTTAGACCCTATTCGTTTCGTTGAAATTTGACTTATGCTGATTTGTTATGAGAGAAAAACATTATTTATTCGCTGAAAGTACTGTTAAAGTAGTTCAAGCGAACAAGAGTTTTGTTATAAATGTTAATATTATTCACTAGAAACTTAATTAAATATAAATAACTTTATGTGATACGCAACGCATAGAATTTTTATGAGGACGGAGGTAATACCTCGCTCTCGCTAGCACGAAGTGGCAGATCTGAGCCAATTGAATTCTCGTGACAATGGGTAGTTGCTCACATTCAATTCACTGGTCTGCACTGCATTGGACTGCAGGCCCCGTTCTTCGTGGCGACCAGGATGGTGTCCAGTGCCGTGCGAGACAAGTGGCTCTCGCCGCTCGTCCCCACACCAGACGCCTAGGCTCTTGCTGCGACGCGCTGGATCGGCCACGGCCCGCCGCTCTGCACCCCTACTCTCGGTCACCAGCTCCTGTGGTGCCTCGCCGGCATCCTGGCGGACGCCGCGCACGACTGGCTCCGCCTGCGCGAGCACCTGTGGCTGAGAGCGGTGATACAGTGAATGAGGGCGGCGAGGGCGTCGAAAACTGGGCCGCATGCAAAGTGACTTTTCTTAAGCCTGGTTTAATTCCTCCCTAAAACTTTATATCCTATCATATCGAATATTTAAACACATACATACAGTATTAAATATAGGCTAAAAAATAACTTATTGTAGATTACGACTACTTTATGAGATGAATCTTTTAAACCTAATTAGTCTGTGATTTGACAATAAAGTGCTACCGTAACACATGTGCTAATGACGGATTAATTAGGCTTAATAAATTCATTTCGCGGTTTACTAACCGATTCTATAATTTGTTTTTCTATTAATATTCAAACACCCCATGCGACATTCGATGTGACACCCAAAAACTTTACACTTTGGATCTAAACAGGGGCGAAGCCAGGAGAAAATGGCTGCCGGGGTCGGTACTCACAGTACCAGAGGCGAAGCTACATTGAGCTTGCCTGGTGCCCATGCACCACGGTAAGGGAAAAAAATTCCACTAACTAGACAAACTTTCATTATGTATTTCTACCAAATTATATATGTCCTTTTAGTAGTGTACCACCATAAATTTATAGCGGGCTTCGCCCAACAGTATTAATTGCTGATTTATAGATCTCAATAATATAATAACATGCATAACTTGACATTGATAAAATGACAACCGCATATTATGACAAAATAAGGTTTCGCAATAGTAGTTACCTCTTACATTTTCTCTCTACGACTACGATCCTCAATCTTATGAAAGCGAATTATCACATGTTTTATGGGAATTGTGGTTAAAAAACTAAAGCAGATAGCAGCTATGCGTATAATGTAGAAGTCACTACTATCGATACCTGGCATCTTGCTGGATGGAATGAAAGAGAACGTTCTTCACTTCATTGCTTGAACGCAAGTTACATACTTTGCTTCTCGAGAATCGATTTCGGATTGTACCGAAAAAATAAAACCCCGAGACCTCAATGTTCGACGACGATCGTTAATTTAATTACAAATCGCATAATTGGGTATTTACTTGTGTGGACAAGATTGAGAATAGACAAAGATGAGAACACAAGATCGTCGATTGAGAACGAATCGAGCCACCAGAGCGGCCGTTGAGCGGCCGGCACGTCAGGCAGGGCGCGACGCCGTAGCACGAAAGATTTGGGATGCGTCGGTGTGCGCGGCTTGCGACGCTCGCCTTCTCGGGCTATCAAGTACTCTCGATGTCTGCACATGTTAGCATTCACCGACTCACGTATGTGGAGTTGTGGGCGATGGGATCGATGGATTGGATGGGCTGAAAGCGTAAGCAAAATCGATGGACTTTGGACTGTTGTCATGTTGAGTCATCACACCGCTGGACCATCGGGTCTCACGTAAATTTTGCTGGGGTCCAAGCCGGTCAAAATTACTCCGTATAAGGTGAAACGACAAAGTCGTCGGTGTCGCTAGACCCCGACGCGTGAACGTAGCATCGCCGGTGGATCTAAACACCACCTTAATTATTATCTACTATACTATAATATATATATATATATATATATATACCACCTAAAAAATAGACAACATATCAGGTGTAAATCAATTAACCTGTGCAAACTTAGAAACTACCAATCAGGACCACTGGATGCTGATCTAATGGATGGGGTGATGGAGCTTAAGCGAAAAAAAGGCCGTCGGGTGGGGGCTTAAGCGCAAAAAAATTCCACCTCTCACCCCACCCATTGGATCAGCATCTAATGGTTCTAATTAGTAGTTTTTAAGTTTACACAAATTGATTGATTCGCACGTTGGCTAAAAAATATGGGCAGGTTTCGTCCAACTCCTTCAGTGTGCGCGCCTGCTCGATCGGGCTCTGTGTACGTGTACGCGCCTGGCTCGATCTGGATACGTACGTCCGCATCTCCTCCGTGTACGTGCAGGCCATAGCCTATGTAGACTTCTCGTTTGTGCGCTAGACTCCTATGCCGCTTCGTACTCATCAGCGCTACGCGCGCGCGTATCCGCAGCCCTCCCCTACATGGCTCCATGCAGCAACTCCACGAGCAAGCAATGAGGCGTTTCTTTAACTCCCACTCTACCAGGCATATCTTCCTCTTTTCCAAAATAAATGTCGTTACATACCGGTCAAATATGTTATTATACCAAATCTACTCAGTACCAAATATCGATTCCTCCACATGCGTCCACATCCTATACAAATCATCCTTCACTTAAAGAACACATGCATGTGTCCTATCCGGTTTGAATGCAACATACGTCTCAAAACAGATGAAACATTTGGAACATGCACTTGCAACATCTGTATGAAATATACAAAACATCCAAATAAAACACTTGCAACTTACAACATGAAAACCACTTGCTGCAACATAAGACTGAAACATTTGGAACATACAGTTGCACACATATTTGTGAAACATATGTAACATCTAGATAAAAAATGATTGCAACATACGTCTAGAAACAGATGAAATATTTTGAACAAACGCTTGCAACATGCCTCTGAAACACTTGCAACATATGCAATATTCACTGATCTACTTTTGTAATATCTAGATGAAATAATTGCAACATACATAAAAAACACTCGAAACAGTTGAACCATACATTTACAACATAGGGGAGGGAAAGACTGGGGTCGGTCGATTCTGGCTGTCATGGTGGGAGCCGACGGCGAGCCGCAGCGCACGAGCACCACCAGCATCGGCTGCGCTCGTGGGTGCCCTTGGCTCGACCGGGGAAGACCTGAGGCACCAAGGCATGTGCGCCATAGCAGCCATGGCGGGGTCAGCGGCGCGTGCGACGGCGATGGGGGACGGACGGATGGCGAGGGAGCCAGCGATGTAGGTGACTGGGACGGGGCGCGGCCCGGCCGACGATGGGGGTGCGGGGCGGTGGGAGGAAGGGCACGGTACGGTAGGCGACGAGCGCACAGTGGGGGAAGAGGGCGTGGCACGGCGGAGTGGCGCGGGGTGGATGTGCGTTCACGCGCTCACGCCGAGATGGGCGGATAAGCGCAGTGGATATTGTTTATTTGAGAGAGAGCTTATGAGTGGATGAGGAGGAGCCACATCCCCGTGGCCAAGCATCGGCCCTGTTCGTTTCGCTGAAAAAACAAGCCGAAACACTGTTCCGGCTGATTTGTTGTGAGAGAAAAATACTGTTCCGGCTGAAAAAACAAGCTGAAAAAGACGGATTATAAGAAAAACGAACATGACCATTATCGTAAAAAATTCTCGGTGGGACAAACTTTAGCAGCAATATGGACCAAAAGGAAAAAACACACACGAGCAAACATGTTTCGTAATCCCACAAATTATATTATATAATAATAAAGCAACGAGCGAAGAAATATTTTTCGACAATACTTCATGTTCAAAGACTAAATATTTGGCCTGTTTATTGGTTGGTTTCTGGGTTGATAAGTCCAACTAGTGCTGGTTTGTTATGAAAGAAAAATACTATTGGCTGGCTAATATGTCTTGGCTAAAATAAAAAAGCGAACAGACTGATTATACTCGCCACTTTTCCTATTGTACAGTCGCCTGAAAATCAGGCTCATTTCAGGCGACGCCTGTTTGATCCGTGCGCTGTCCCTTTGTTCTGTATTGGTTTCGGGTTTGATCCATTACAGGCTACCACCCATCGTATTCGGACCGGATTCTTTTGGCACTATTCGTATTCTCGAAGCGCGCGCCCAGGAAAGGGTAAAGGTGTTCATCGTGGCGATTCTCTCGACGACCTCGGCGCTCTGCCCCGTCCCGTCAGCCCGTCACTGTGCGCGTCGGAGTCTCTCCCTCATCGATTTGGAGGCTCATTCGCGGCCACCCCGAGCTCCGTCGGCGGGCTCTAGCGCCGCCGTGGCCGGCTGCGGGGTCTAGTCCCCGCATCTGGGGGGCGTTGGGGCCGGTGGTGAAACGGCCCACGTCCTCTATCCCTCTCCACGTCTACCAGCTTCGTCGCCGGCGCCATTGTGTTCGTACGCCTCCTCTCCCCCAGCTTTTGCTTGCTAGTAGCTTGCGGTTGTGGTTTGCTCGGCTGCTCTGTAGTACTTGTGAGGAAGGGATTGGGCTTGTGGGTTTGGCTTGCTTCTCCTCTGTGGCTCTGTGTTTTAGAGCCCAGATCTACTGCCCAAAATGGATGGAGGTGTTGCTACTTGCTTCACCTATTAACTGGCAACATTTCTACTGTCTGATTTTGCTATGTAGTTGTTTGATTGATTGTTCTAGGATTTTGATTTGAGCTCTCCTTTGATTGTGCTATGTAGTTGTTTGTTTGTTTGATTGTTCTAGGGGTCTCTGTAGATCTGGTTATGCTTGCCGCTTCATGTTAGTTGGAATTAAGGGTCTCAGCATGGCATGCATGCCAATAATAGAATAGTTTATTTGTCCTCAGATTGGGTTGGTCCATGAACCAATTGTGCCCACCCACGGCCACGAGGGCATATAATTTATCAAATTCTATATTCTCATCATGGAATTCTAGCCATCTTGTTGACCGGATGATAGGAACCTTCTTGATTCAATTCATCAAAACCATCTCGAGATATAATCGCACACTCTGCATCTTTTGACACTCACATTTCAGAAAAAGGGTGACATTGTGTCGTCTGACACTGCATCGTCTTTTGTGACTTGAAGCTAGAGCCTGCAGCTCTTATGGTGTATGTAGGTTCCACATCTCGTGGCTGAGGCTGCTAATTTAGCCACGGTAAATTGTGTTGTGTATTTTAAATGTGATGCATGTTAGCCTTTGATGAAAGGAAAAGAGGCAAACCATATATATAGAGTGCGATTCTGCGTAGACCAGCTTGAGTGCTTTAACTTATTCAGGTGGACGGGGTTTTGTCCTTCCAT